TCCGGAGGAGGTGGGAAGAGTACTTCAGAGGTCTTCTGAACGAGGAGTTCTCCCACAAGAACAACTCACGGGCAGAGGCCACAGCTGGTCCCATCGCACTCTGGACAGAGGATGAGGTTCGGTGTGCACTTGGGAAGATGAAGGTTGGAAAGGCGGTTGGTCCAGATGGAGTGCCCAATAGAGGCTTGGAAGGCGCTCGGAGAGCACGGGGTAAGGTGGCTCACCCGCTTCCTGAACACGGTAACTGCCGAAGGAAGGATGCCGGATGCCTGGAGAACAAGTACTATCGTCCCCATCTTCAAGCAGAAGGGTGACGCGATGGACTGCTCCAACTACCGCGGTATCAAGTTGACTGCGCATACCATGAAGTTGTACGAGCGACTGGTCGACTCGAAACTGCGGGAGCTGGTCCCGATCTCCCAGGAACAGTTCGGGTTCATGCCCGAAAGGTCTACAACGGATGCCATCTTCATCGCTAGGCAAGTGATGGAGAAGTATCGAGAAAAGCGCCGACCTTGCTACCTAGCCTTCCTCGACCTGGAGAAGGCGTTCGACCGGCTACCGCGAGCAGTACTATGGAGATCGCTTAGGGAACGGAAACGTGCCAGAACACCTTGGTGAAGGACATGTACGAAGGAGCCAAGGCAGCTATACGCACCCCACACGGCCTAACGAAGGAGGTGGACATCACGGTTGGGGTGCACCAAGGGTCAGCTCTGAGCCCGTTCCTCTTCCTCCTAACGCTCACTAGAATGGCCATGGTAGGTTGTCGACTCAGGAGGGAACGGTGAAGGTTTATGACATAAAAAGCGTTTAGCTAATCACTGAGAAGCCGATTCCAGGGTGTCCACATACTTTTGGTATGCACTGCATAGTTACAATATTATGTAGTCATAACCTCAAGGACGGTCCCATATCTTCACCAAATATAAGTTTGCTATCTTTCATGGGTTCTTTCTTTGGTTTCAGTAGGCGAAAGAGTAGTGTGTTCAATTCATGTGACTCTATATGAATGGAAAACGATCTCTACTTGGAACAGTAAAACTGAGCAACTACACATCGGAGCAAACTCATCTTTTCTCTTCCAACTTGAAGGCGTTTCTATTATTTTGTGCTGGTGATTGCATTAATTGTTTGATTCGTACGAAAGCCTAACGACCCGAATCGGACGTTTGAGATTGAGAAGATGTGGATCAACTCCTGCTTTGACAATCTTCGTCGCACCAACATCGAGCTACGACGAGGAGGAACACGAAGCATTTTATATGGAATTGGAGAAGTTCTACAAGGAAGATCATACCTTCTTCAAGGTCATCGTCGGCGACTTCAACGCCAAGATTGGCCCGAGAAGAACTTCACATCGGTACTCACGGAATGGATTGGAATGAGCAGGGCGAAAGACTGTCTGAGTTTATCATGTCGACCAACACCATCCATGGTAACTCGCAGTTCCAGAAGCCCTCTCACCTTCGTTGGACTTGGGAGTCACCTGATGGACAGTTCCATAACGAGATAGACCACATCATCTTCAATCGAAGGTTTTGCCTGACCGACGTCGCTGTTGTTCCGAAGTTCTACACGGGATCGGACCATCGTCTCCTCCGCGCAAAGTTCCACTTTTCGATGCGTGTTGAGAGAGCCTCGAAGTTCAGGAAGCGAAGCCCCAGGAACCATCAACTGTCAAACTGGATCACTTCACTTCTCTTGTCAGCTTATGGGAGGATTCCGTTATCGAGAACATCGACGAGGAATATCATCGGCTCGTTGAACACCTTCACGAGAGTGGCAGGAAGGCAGAGAGTTTGCAAGTCACCAAAGGACGTCTGTCTACGGAAACTCTCGAGCTGATACGCCAACGTGGAGCCGCACGAGCTGCAGGCAATCACCAACTCACGTCCGAGCTTGCGAAGCTATGCAGAGAGGCGATAAAGGAAGATCTCAAGGAGCGAAGAGCAGCAGTATTAGCTGAAGCAGCAGAGGCTGGGAGGAGCATCCGCAATGCCCGCCGAAGCTTTGCCAGCTACAAGACCAAGATGACCTGCCTCCGACGTCCGGATGGAACAGTTACTGCATCCCGAAGGGCAATGGAGAAAGTCATCCACGACTTCTACTCGGATCTCTTCGATAGCCATGTCCATCTGCCCACTTATCAACTGGATACGTCGTCCCCTCAGTACTCTCTTCCGAAGTCCGACACGCCATCAAGTCGGTGAAGAATCGTACAGCACCCGGTCTCGACAGGGTCAAACCGGAACATCTGAAGAATGCGCCGCCAGTTATCATCAAACTCTGGCTCGACTCTTCACGCGCTACCTGAATATTCGACGGGAGTTGATGTTTTAAATATTAGGTTGTCTCATAAGTGGTGTCGCTTTTTTTCAACAACCAAAAATTTTCTGAAATCTTCCGATCTGCAATCCTCATCCTTATTAATTCGTGTCATATACCACATTCGAAAGAGAATCGTCTGCTCTACAAGATGCTGTATGTTCCTTCCACCTCTGTTCCAGGTTTTCAAATTTTAGGCCTGCGAAATGGGAGGTCCAGCCGACAAAAATTGACCAAACCGACAACTATCTCTAACTTTATCTTCCCTTGGGAGAAATCAATCAATACTGTACCCTCTACTTATGCATGACCTCTTCTAAACATTACACTATTAGGTTTCCCAACAAGTCGCGTCATTCCATTTCCAGACCTGGTTTTTCAACCAGAACTCGACGGTCAAGCACCATTACCTGAGATCCAGGTTGAAATATGTCAGTTGTGATCACTGGAAATAGCACACAAAGTTTCACGCATGAAGATTCGGTTTCTGAAGAGAAACAAACGTACAAAAACTACACGTTATGGACCATCGAAGGACCAGGAGGCAGAGCCAGGCGAGGCATGGAAAGAAGACGGCGTTTGGCCGGCTACGTACCAGGCGACGCAATGAGAGAATCGGGTTAAAGCGCGCGATTTCGGAGAGTGGAGACAAATCGATCGATGGAATAGGATGGAGTAGAAGTGTAAGATGTGAATGCAACGAAGCAGAAGGCCAGAAAGAGCTTCTAGTGAATGCACTCCAAGAACCAAGTTTGAGCATCCCCGTCGCCAGCATTCGTGAAAGACGTCCGTGGGCAATTCGAACGCGTAGCAGCCTTTTCGAGTTTTCGAATTTCTAATCAAAACGAAAGCAATACTTCAGTTCTTTTCACTATTATCGTGGATAATGAGTCTCAAGCCAGTGATTTATGGCTGAAATAGAATCATGATTTTTCCGCGCAAGATTCCTTTAAAGAACAAGTCATGACTAAGTTAGGAATGTACGCCTGGTTGATTTTCTCATCTTCTCAGGGATAATTTTTTTCAAAGAAATGCGGTCACTTTCGTGGATAAAGCACCTTACTCCTAAACACCTAAAATTCGAGCTAATTCCTAACAAACATCAAAACAAAACAAATGAGCGAATAGAGCAGAAGAAGTGCTCACAAAAGATACACCAGTTGATATAAAACAATAGCGTTTCAGAGGAAGAATTTCAATTTGAAAATTGCCATGGCTTATCGGTCGGCCAATTCGAAAAGAAACAGGGCAAACCTTTTTCGGCAACCTAAGGGTGGAATGTTCAGAAGAGGTCATGAGTAAGTAGAGGGTACATCATTGATTGATTTCTCCGAGGGGAAAAAAGTTAGAGCTAGTTGTCGGTTTGGTCAATTTTTGTCGGCGGGACCTCCCATTTCGCAGGGCTAAATTTGAAAACCATGGAACATAGATGGAAGAAGAACACATCTTGTAGAGCAGACAATTCTCTTTCGAATGGTATATGACTCGATGTAAAAGCATGGGGATTTAGATGAAAATTTTTTGGTTGAAAAAAAGCGACACTATTTATGAGACAACCTAATACTTCGTGCAAATCGCCAATTATTGTGCTACCTCTAATTGCTTTGAGTAAGCAGTGCTCAAGTTATGAGCATTACAATACAGCAGCCCAATAAATTTATTTATATTACAACAATGACGTCAAAATGATATCACCCTTGTTGAAGAAGAGTTTGAGCAATTGACGGGGTTCTGTTGAAATCGGCGAGCTACTAAATTGCTTTCTCGTTTATTCAATTATCTTACAACTCGTATCATTCGCATTTTCGTCACTTCACTTGTTCTTGATTGCAAAATGATTGCATGCATCAAATTATCACCTAAAGTCCTCCTCTTACTAGTCAATCGAAATATCCTTCATTTGTGACACGTCAGTGGTGATAATTGTATTTTCCTTATACATAGATTGCTTTTTGTGTGGAAATTATAAGCTGTCGTCAAATCTCGATCATAAGATTGTTGCTTCAGGTTTACGGAAGCTATGAAAACTCGGAGCCGCGTGGCTAGCTCCTCGCTTCGGCTATCGATCAGTTAAAGGTTGCTTTGACACCATTGCCTGTTTACTTCTGTGAAAACAAGGAAACATACTTCACTTAGAAGTGAACAAGAAAAGCCAATACGAATAGTATAGAACTTTTCGTTCTGTGTAACGCAGTCGTTAGGCCGATGTCATAGCTTTGCGAGTCGAGCGATTCGCTAGCGATCGCTGGATCCGAGCGTTGCGCCAGCGAATCGAACGTTACCACCACCCGGTCGAACTATGTACCAGCGACTCATTAGTGGCGAGACCCAACGTTCAAAGAAGCCAGCCGCTTTCATACAGTTTCGCGTGATCGTGAACCCTTCTTGAAAGTGGCGGGACTTGATAGTGACACTGTTTGAAAGTGGCGGTCTTCCAGTGAACGTTGGCTCCTACCACTAATGAGTCGCAGGTATACCGCTGGATTTGCTGGCGCAACGCTTGGATCCAGCGATTCGCTAGCGAATGCTCGATTCGCAGTCTATGTCATCGGCCTTAGAGTGTACAGATATTTGTGACCGAGAAGAATAGTCAAGATTATAACGCTTTTGTTGACCGTACCTGGACAGATATTGAATAGAGAGCAGAGAAAAATTTACTACATATTGAACTAATGTTCGCCGAAATACTTTGGAGTGGAAAAAATCTTAAAAAGTACAAGATTAGACACCAGGTTGCTGGATTTACTCTGCCGCTCGTGACCTCAGAGGAACATTAAGAGCAAGGCATTCAGAAACTGCATATAGTTGGCACTAGGTCTAAGCTCAGGAGTGGTGTTAAACGCCAGGAAAACCACAGGTTACTCAGGTCTTCCCCCTGAATTCCTCCCCCACTTCAAGGCCTAGTCCAGGTTCTGTGAGTGGCTCACTCCTTCGATGTCCTCGCCTAACTACATGAGCGCCAAACTCTTTATTCATTCCATATTTATTGAAGTAATTCTCTCAAGCAGCTAGATCGCCCTGGAAACCAGAAATTCTTTTTATCGGACCATTTCGAACAATTTTTGCGTCAAGCTTCTGCAACAGCTGTTTTCACCAAGTTCGTTAAAAACTAGCATGCAAGGGTTGATGATGACCTGATACAATAACGCCCATTCCTCTTGGCGCTGGCGCACACAATTGAGCACTGGCGCCTATGGTATGAAAATCCATAGCCAAAAGTGAGTATCATAGCTGTCAGTAGGAACATCTCCCTGTCCACAAATTCCTACCAAATTCGGTGAAAACAAGGATTGTATTCATAGGGCTCAAAGTTGTGCAAAACTGTGTCAGCACCGAAACTGAACTCTATTTCTATTGCCTGCATCACCAATCACCTCATGGGCGAAATCATCGAAATAACTCAAAATTCACTTTCCAATCCACTCCTTTCAGCGAAAGTTGCACGAGGGTGATTCAGCTGATGCCAATTAATTTTATTCCCGCTTTGATTACATACATCGGCTTTGACGTCTTTCCACACCAGGAATTGCACCGTAGAATGCCCCGTTTCGTAGTCCCGTATGATAATCTCGTTCTGAGCAATGCGCCTTCACAAAAACTTCAGCTGATCCACAGGAAGTAATTACTAAATACGGGCGACGGTTCTTGCAGTGCGGTGTGAAGCGTGAGTAGAAGTGTTATCTCTTCCAGATTTTGATAGTGCCGCTTATCAACAAGTAGCGTACAGTAGTCCCCTTGCTCAACAAAACACTTTCATTAGTTAGAAATAAAGGCGTATGACCAAGCGAGAAAGGAATGGAAAAGAATCTTCGAATTTTTTATTATTACCATCGCTTCTAGTGCTTTACGTTGTACAAATTATTCAAAGCATGCTGAATAAAAACGGGCACTGTGATCTGAGGACGGATACACAATAATAGCTTCTGCTGAGTCGGGAGGGTGTCCCTCAAGAGGCCCATATCGCGGCGAAGGAAGAGACGCAGACGCGGGAAAGGACGGGTCGCAGCGCGTGCTGTGCGATATGAGACGTAGTATGTGCACTCTGTTTAAAGGAGGAATTCACGATTAGAATGAAGGTCGAAGAAAGGGAAACTGACCTAGTTGAGGGACCCACGGACCTCCTGAGGGTGCGAACTGACGCGCAATTCGCATGGAAAAATTTGACCTCGGCGACCTATCATGCCTCAAAGCTGGCGGGTCCGGCGATCTCCGCCCACCGATCACTCGCCGTAGTTCAATACGTGGCGAGTGATTAGATAGCTGAGAGAGCGTAGTGTTGAAGAGGCACAGCGATGAGAGTCGCATCAATGCTCGAATCAACGGGCAAGGAAGGGGTACCATTTCTCGGGTTCTGGGCCGTTTCTCATGGTTCTTCCTTCTTTCGTGTACCACTCACCATCCCTAGGTTAATTTGAAATGGGTTGCTTTTTCATCGTGAATTCGTCCTTTAATCTCACGCCTAACTGCTACAGTATTCGCTGCGACTCGTCCTTTGCCGCGTCTGCGCCTCTTCCTTCGCCGCGCAATGGGTCTCTTGGGGTACGCCCGAGTCGGGAACAAATTGTCCTATGCAGCGCATGATAGCGAAGAAATCGCACTTCTTGCGTCACCAAAGTTTTTTGAAAATATGGTACATATTCACGGCTGCACAAATCCGACTCTACATATGATTTCGAACTCTAGGCCTCAGTAAAACAACATGAATTGGAACAGTCAAGCTGATAAAAGCAGATTTACGTGGAATATAGTAAATAACACTGATTAAGCAATGAGTAGAAGTGACTATGGAAACCATAGAAATACCCAGCAAGCAGCTCTAGGTTAACAGGTGGTAATGCCGCTCTACTAGGCATTTTATGCAGTATTAGTTTAGCGAAGTATGGTGTCCTTTTGTCTTGCTTAGTACTTACCAGTTTCCTTGAGCAATGCGAACCGGATGTATCTGTCTCGGGGAGCAAGCTAGAGCTAGCTTCGTGAACTCGTCCAACGCGCACTTCTTCATTCCTAGGCTGAAATTGCCGGCTGAAGATGGGGAAGTCTCTTTGCGGGGTCTAATCGGTGGTTTCGCTTGCTTTCCTTCTTTATTCCCAAATCATGCCTTTAAGCAGTGCGTTTTATACTTCTCCTCTGGTCAGGTCACTCAAAATTGAGACACCACTCATTTGTTCGAAGAAGCCTAGGACTAAGCCTAGACCCAGCCATAGGCTTAAGCATAAGCCAATGTGCAAGCACAAGCTCAAGCGTAAGCCTGAACCCAAGCACAACCTCAGGCTTCAATGATCGCGCAGCTTTGGTGACCTGAGCTAGGTGGTGGACTGAACGTCTCCCCCTCTCGGCCTCTGTGAACATGCAAACAGCTTGAAGTTCGTACCTTGCATCAACTGCATTCCAAGAGAAACTGAATGATTTCGGTTGTGGAATATGGTTTTGTTCCATTTTTATTGTAATGACTATTGCCTTGATTTGTGTACCGCCAAAATACTACATCATTTTTTTTTCTTTGTAGGCTCTCTCATTCTACACACGGCATCGGAAAACAGGTGAGCATTTATAAATTTTGTACCCTCCACGCTCTTTGCAATATTATCGCGTTGTAAAATATGAATAATTGATGATTCATCCGAGTTGATTCAATATACGGTATTTATGATTATTTTGTATCCATGTGTTTGTTTTAGTTCGTCATACTGGGTGATATTGCATAGAATTGTAGTTTAATTTTCTTGGAAATAGGAGAAAACAGCCAAAACAGACGATACGTTCGAATTTGATTATCTGGACAGATACCTTCGAGACAAGGTTTGCGACATATCAACTTCTGTTTTCAGAATGTGGAGCAATATTAGACACAGAAGGCAGCTACACTCTACCAAAAAACGACCAGTGCTCACTCAAAGTCGCAGTGCCCGAAAAAAGCGCTGTACAGATTACTGTATCAGGCAAAGCATTCAAATGTAAACGACATTTGAAGGATCTTATGGTAAGAAGTGCTAACTAATGAACGTTGCTCAGTATTCCTGGTTTCTGAAGCATTCTTTCACAAATGTGATATCACATTACTTTAGACTGACAACTGGCATCGCAGTTTTCGTTGAAAAACTTGAACACAAAAATGTAGATTTGGTAGACCGACTGAAACAACAGGGTCTGTTGTTAAGGGGGAACATGCTGTTGCAACTGTTCACAATGCTGTTAACAAAAGAAATATGTCTAAACTCGTTACACGTGCGGGGCTGCCAAGAATATAGCAAAACAAAAATATTACAGGCCTTTTCTTGGAGTAACGGGGAACATGTTGAAGATGTCTGGGCTACTATGAAGAAGGAATGCACAATAGAGCCAACCACAACGATCAGACTTACACGCAGTCAATGGAAGGGTGCACGGCAGTAAAAGTACACCGAATAAAATCAAAAATGTCCGAATAAATAGCTAAGAAATAAAGCCCCCGCTACAAAAGGAAGACTAATTGAAGCTTCTCACATGTTCTGTTTCGCTAACTGGTATTCTTTCTGAAAGGCTCTGCAGATTTTACAAGTGTTGGCTTATACTGTTTTGTTAGCTGCATTTTAAGGCTACCGTTTGACATGTTTTCTTTTGCTTACCAAAGACAATGATCATCCCCGTAGGACAACAGACCGGAAAACACGCACGCACATGAATTGCCACTATATTAGTAGCCCAGTCGTTAAACTGCCAACGGATTTCCATATTAATACAGATAGAGTCGATGGAGACGAAAATGATTTCCTTTCCGTGTTTTCAACGAGATGCGGCTGCTTTATTCATTGGTGATCAACGCAAATACATTATTCATACGAAAAATCTACCGTCTGCGTCTCACATTGGAATTGCTTATTACAAGACCCAGTACGGTATGAGGAAGTCGTTTTTGGGATGTGAACCCTCTGCTCACAATGATCTCGTGGATTTTCAAAATTGCAGAATGCGGTGATGTAGTACCATTTGACGTCGTTGGCATGGACTTAACAGTAAAATATTCCTACACAGAAAACTCTCTCTGCAGTGTGATCCTTCCAGGCAGAACGCGAGCTGTAATTAGTAGAGTTGATGGAGCAAATACGGTGAGTGGTCCTTTCATACCATCTCTTTCTTGTAGTTATCAGTTCCTGAAAATTCCAAAAAAGCTGCTATCACTTCTGAAAAATGTTTGACAAGAATACTGGGTTATGATCGAAACTTTCGGCCAAAGCGGAGCTCAAACACGCACCTCCTACAGGGCAAGTGTGCTAAAATGTACGCTACTGACGCACTGTTTCGCCCGAACTCAATTTTCATGGTGTACTTAGCATAGCTTGTCAGTACTTACATGTATCACATATTGAGCTAGCCAGCCATCATCGGCAATGAACCGCGACACTGCATTCGGCTGACCCACTCTTCTTCTTCTTAACGTTAGTCTCCGCGCAGTCGCAGGGTCCGCTGTTTTTGTCAGTCGTCGCCACTTTGCTCTGTCCAGGGCATCTTCCATCGTGGCCATGACCTCACCTAGGTCCTTCTTGATCACGTCTTTCCACCTTTCTTTGGGGCTCCTCGCGGTCGCTTGCCTTGCACTTCGAAGTCCATCGCTGTTCTTATCGGATGATCCTGTGGCCTCCTTAGCACATGCCCATACCATCGCAGACGCTGTTCCCGTACCTTCAGCTGGACAGGGGCATGACCGCTCTGACATCTCGTTTCTGACCCTGTTGAGTGGGCAGGCCGCAGGCCCATCTCAGCATCCTCATCTCAGCGGAGTGAAGCTGCCTTTCGTGATTCTTGTTCAGGGGCCAGCACTCGCTGCCGTAGAGCATCGCAGGCCTTACCACTGTCCGGTACACCTTCCCTTTGAGCGTTCTGGAGCACCTTCGATCGCAGAGGATTCCAGTGGACTCCCTCCATTTCATCCATGCCGCGTTGATCCCGAGCCTTCACAGCCTGACACACTGGTGTGTGGCGGCTAGGTCGCTCCCAAGGAATCGGAAGTCTTCCACTCTTCCTGTGCATTCCCCATTCCGTCCACGGTCGGCTCAGCACTCTCTTCGGGGCTCAGGAACTTGGTCTTCTTGACATTCACCCGGAGCCCGCCTTCTGCCATGGCTTTCTACCATTTTCTGCGCCTTACCCTGTACTTCCTCTCTACTATCCGCTATCAGGGCTATGTCGTCAGCGTAGGCGATGATCTTCAGTGGTCCTCCATAAGCCCAGG